CGCCACCTTGATCTTCACCAGACCATTCTTCTCGGCGCCACCCGCCACAGCCACCGCTGCCCCCGACGCCGCGTTCATCGGTTGCTTCTCCGGTTCTAGCTCATTCAGCTCCACCTCCTTCATATCCACCTCAGTATCCTGGCTCATGGTACCTGCAGAATTGGTGACAAGACGCAGCCTACGGTCAGGGGTGGCTTTCAGCCCTGCCCTCCTACGGGACCCAGAACAGTCTCTCCAGCCTGTGCGACTCCGCTCAGCTTCCGCTCTTGTATCTGCTAGGCCTGAGGGCGCGGCCTTTGGGAAGGGGCAGGGAGTCCCGCCCCGGCCCGCCCCTTAAAGTGGACGGTTGATGTTGCGCTTTATGGGACTGCTTGGGTGAGCAGCACGAGGGCGAGACACGCCTCCAACTTCTCCGTGGTCCAATCTATCTTGAAAGTGTGTATCCCTGTGGTTCCTTCAAACTGGACACTGAGAAGGCTGCACACCGAGCCACCCAAAAGTGGACAGAGTCTGTGATTTGTCTAGATCTCCAGGTTCCTCCTCCTGTTTACAAACCCCACTGACCCCAAAGGGCCAGCCCCAAGACATTGCACCACTTGTCCCTGATCTTCCCAGCTTCCCAGGACCACTTCCACTCTCTGCCAGACCCAGCGCTGCCTTTTCCCTCACCAGGCCTTGTGTCTTCTCAAGGCTCTGGGACTTGGTGCTAGACCTTGGCTTCCCCAGGACTTACTCTCACTTGTTTTGGACTTAATCTTGAGTTTACGTCAATTAATTCCTCACGCTGTGACTATTTATTGAAACACCCACTACAACACTTTGTTTCTTTAACTTTGTTGAATTACCTCTAATCCAATCTTCTCCATACCATCTTAGGATGGCTATGTTTGGTTAGGAGAGTTGAGGCTGAAGCTGTCCTCTTTTGTACCCTACCCCACTCCCCAGGTGCTGGCCTTAGGACACTGGACAGCTAGAAATTAGACATTCAGAAGAGGCTGATGGGGCTGTGGCAAACATTCCAGAACTGGGCCTCAGCTATCCACCTTTTTCCTAGTACAAACCAGAATCTTCCCCACCTTGCTGAGCACACTCCTACAGATGATCCCAGACTCCCTGGGTGTGCCAGTGTTCTGCCTCCCATCTCTTCACTAAGCTACGTCTTGCAGGCAGCTGTACTGCAGAAGCTTTGAAGACCTTGCAAATTTCCTCCACGGAGATCCTTGGATAGGCAGTAAGTGGGGCAGAGACAAGGTTCACAGAGGGACTACCGGATATCAACACTGTGAGGTGCCAGCACTCTCAGGAACTTCTTGTTCCTCAGAAGTGCCAGCTGGGTTATTTTCAGAGAGGAACTGAAGGAAATAGGTTCTTTCTCCCACTCCCACCTAGGCTGGAAGCCAGGGTTGTTGTGTACTCGGAAAAAAGCAGGAGCCAAGATCTCAAGTTAACTGTGGAGAGAAGGGGTATAAAAAGGCTCCACCTTTTCCATTCCTCTTCTGCATCCCAAAGCCTCCCACCCATCCCTGTCTTAGGGAAGGCTGGAACCAGCTCCTAGGGCAAGGCAGGCAAGTGGACAGAGGCTGGATTCATACCAGTGCTCAGAGATGATGAGAGGTCGAAGGTGCCCTGGGCATGACAGATAAGAAGTGCCAACTACAGGTTCTGAAGAAACTTTATCCCCAGCATGAACGCTCAAGGTTGAGAATTGTGGTGTCAGAGAAGAGCTCCTTGAGCTGGTCTAATAGAACACCCCCTGCCAACAAAAAATTTCACTCATAGCCCCCCACCGTGGCTCCTGGTGGCTAAAGCCAATTCCTTTTGCGTACCATAAAAAAGCTAACAATTTAGCTCCCCAGTCGTTATCACCCACCACCTTCCACAGGCATTACCCTCTAGCCACGCTGGCCTTCCAAAACCTGCCAGTCTCATGACACACCAGGCTTTTTCAGTCTCTGCATCTCATACACACCATTCCTTTACTGTTGATCCCTTCCTGTCCTGGTGTTCCATCACATAAGCTCCTATTCCTTCAAGACCTACCTCAAGTGACAGGTTTTTCCAGCTTCCCAAACTGAATTACTTTCTCTCTGTGTATACACCACTGCTACAACTCACATCCCATTTGTTTATTTCATTTCCTTGTCTAGATATCTGTTTGCCCTTAAAGACAAGTGGCAGGGGCCTTCAGCTATTTGTTCATGAATCTACCTATTCAGAGAAAGCATATAGTAGGTATTTGATTGATAAAATTCATCCACCCTAATTAGGCTGGCACAGGAGGATCGTGGCTTGGCAAACTGGTAAGTGAGTATATGAATTTTATACATCAAACCCAAATACTTCCCTTCCTAGAAAAAGCTGAGCAAACAGTAGAATGTGAAAATAAAGTGATAAAAATGAAAAGTAAATTGTGTGTTGTATCAAGATAAAGCTGTTTCTGCAGAAAAATAAACCGAGATTTATAACCGTTCAACCAAAGTAAAACAAAACATTGCATCTATGGAGGACAGGAAAACAAAAGTCTGTAGAGAAAGAAACCAGAGGTTGCTAAAGATCCTCAGAGCCTATAATGTGTGTATATATATTTTAAAGATTTTTGCTATAGGGTATGTGCACTCACCAGAAAGACAGAGAAATAGAAAGCAAGAAATCACCCTGCAGGGGGGATGGCCATGCTGCAATCTCTTCTCCTCCATTGTCCTCTCAGGATTTCGAGCATGCACACACACACATCCAGCATGAGTTTTAAGCTGCCGGGTCTGGGACTCAAACCAAGGTCCACTACATGGGAGTCCAGCAATGTAACCATTACGCCATTTGCTGGTCCCCTATAATACAATATTTACCATAGGAATACAAAGCATATACTTTTTTTTTAGAGGTTTTTGCCATAGGGCATGTGTGCTCACCAGACAGAGACAAAGAGACAGAAAGCAAGAAATCACCCCCCCCCCGGGGGGGATGGCCACGCTGCAATCACTTCTCCTCCATTCTCCTCTTGGGATCTTGGGCACACACGCACACACGCCCGGCGTGAGTTTTAAGCCACCGGGTCCTGGGCGCAAACTGCAGCGACACAGTCATTACGCTAACTGCTGGTCCCCAAAGCAAATACTTTTAAGAGAGGACTGGGACAATGAAAAGAAACAAAGTAATGCAGAAGTCAATAAGGACCAAGTAAGGTCATGAATGTGGAGTATTTGTACTCACATAGACAGACAGGGCTGGGGCCCCTGAAATGCAGAGGGTCAGTGCTACAAAGAAAATTTCTTTCTAAAGAAAAATTGCAAAAATCCATGTCACATGTTTCCCAACACATGAGGATTATTTGATCTTAGCCAAAAGACAAGGAAGTTATTTTCCTCCAACCTGTAAAAAGGATTTCCAAAAGCGGAGCACAGATGGGAGGGAGACCCATGGGAGGAGGACTAGAAACTCTTCAGGAGTCAGTCTCTGCCCAGTAGACACTGCAACTCCACTGAAGTCCAAGGCATTTTTCCAAAGACTCAGAAACAAAGCATCTAAGCTCTACCTCTAAAATATCCATCGGCCAGAAGTCTTCGGGATTTTTGCTATTTAAAAATTGGATGATGGAGACCAGCAGTTGGCATAATGGCTGTGTCGCTAGATTCCCATGTAGTTGAACGTGGTTCAAGTCTTGGACCTGGTGGCTTAAACTCATGCCAGGCCCGTGTGCATGCGTGCCCAAGATCCTGAGAGGAGAATGGAGAAGGGATTGCTGTGTGGCCATCCTCCCTGGGGGGTGATTTCTCGCTTTCTGTCTCTTTGTCTCTCTCTGTCCTTCTGGCGAGCGCATGCACCCTATAGCAAAAACCTCTGAAAACAAACAAACAAACAAAAAAACTGGATGATGGTAGGGACCAGCAGATGGCATAATGGTTATATCACTGGACTCCCACGTAGTTGACTGCAGTCTGAGACCCAAACCCAGCGGCTTAAAATTCATGCTGGGCACATGTGCATGCGTGCCCAAAATCCCAAGAGAAGAACAGAGGAGAAAGGACTGCAGTGTGGCCATCCCTGCTGGGGGGTGATTTCTTGCTTTCTGTCTCTCTCTCTCTGTCTCTCCAGCAAGCACATGTGCTCTATAGCAAAAACCTCTCTAAAAAAGAAGGAGAAGGAGAAGAGGAAGAAGACAAATAACTGGATAATTGCTAAGGTTAAAGAATTGAACGTTTGGAAGTCAAAGTGGAGCTGAAATGAAAGCAGAGGAGGCTGGCAGGTGGTGTGGTGGTTAAAGGCACTGGATTCCCACATGGCTGACCAATGTTTGAGTTCCAAACCTGACAGCTTACTTTCTTACTTTCCCTCTTCTCTGTGTCTCTTGTCAAATTGAAAGTGAAAATGATAAAGTTAAATAAAATAACTAGAAAAAAAAGAAGAAAGCAGAAAAGGAGGCTGACCCCCAACTAAAGGAGTTCACATGTCAGCTACTATTTGAAGAATCGATGTTGGAATAACATGTGTTACTTGCTTTTATGAACCTTGCAGAATAGAGAAGAGAACTGTCAGGGTTGTCTGAGTGAGGGGTGAGGAATGCAAGGGGGGATAAAGGCCCGAAAGAATAAAGTAAATACAACCAAACCATATCTCAGGAGAAGAGAAATAAATGTACCCTCTGGAAAGTCCCTGGTATTTAAGTTGGATAAATGACCAACACTACAGCAAGTCATTCTCTACAACCAAGGATCAAAAGATAAACACCAGGGGGCCAGGAGATGGTGTGGTGGTTAAGACATGGCTGACCATGGTTCAAGTCCGGGAGCTGGCAGCTTGCTTTCTCATTATTTCTCTCTCTGAGAGCACATCCCTTATAACAAAGTAATAATAATAATAATAATAATAATAAATTAAGTCAATAATTTGTTTTTTTCAAAGAGGTTTTTTTTTTTTTTTGCTTTAGGGCATTTGTGCTTGCTAGAGACAGAGCGAGAAAGCAAGAAATCACTCCCTGGGGGGATGGCCACATCACAATTCCTTCTCTTTAACTCTCCCCTTGGGATTTTGGGCACACATGTACACATGCATGACCAGCATGAATCTCGGGTCCAGGACTCAAGCTGTGGTCGACTACATGAGAGTCCAGCGCCTCAACCACCACGCCACCTGCTGGCCCCTAAATCAGTCATTC